TTGCCATCACGAAGATGTGGTGGGACCAGTCTCATGACTGGAGTGCTGCAATGACTGGCTATAAGCTCTTCAGAAGGGACAGGCAGCACAGAAGGGGTGGTGGTGTGGCTCTCTATATTAATAGAGAGTCTTTCGATGTTATAGACCTCGAGGCTGGGAATGACAAGGTCGAGTCCCTTTGGGTTAGGATCGGCAGGGACAACAAGGCTAGCGTCCTGGTCGGGGTCTGTTATAGACCGCCGAACCAGGATGAGGAGACGGATGAGGAGTTCTACAGGCAGCTGACAGAAGTTGCGAAATCTTCAGCGCTTGTTCTCGTGGGGGACTTCAACTTCCCTGACATATCCTGGAAGCACAACACAGCCCAGAGAAAGCAGTCTAGGAGGTTTCTGGAGAGCGTGGAGATAGCTTCCTGACGCAGCTGGTTAGTGAGCCTACCAGGGGTGGTGCCCCGCTAGACCTTCTCTTCACAAACAGAGAAGGACTGGTGGAGGATGTGATTGTCGGGAGCTGTCTTGGGCAGAGTGACCACGAAATGGTGGAGTTCACTATTCTTGGCGAGGCCAGGAAGAGGACCAGTAAAACCTCTGTATTGGACTTCTGGAGGGCTGACTTTGAGCTGCTCAGGACACTGGTTGGTAGAGTCCCTTGGGAGGCGGTTCTGAAGGGCAGAGGGGTCCAGGAAGGCTGGGCGCTCTTCAAGAGGGAAATCTTAATGGCACAGGACCGGTCTGTCCCCACGTGCCCAAAGGCAAGTCAGCAGGGAAGAAGACCAGCCTGGCACAGCAGAGAATTGTGGCTTGATCTTAGGAGAAAAAAGAGGGTTTATAATCTTGGAAAACAGGCAGGCCAGTAGGGAGGACTATAAGGATGTTGCGAGGCTGTGCAGGGACAAAATTAGAAAGGCCAAAGCTCATCTGGAGCTCAATCTGGCTACTGCCGTTAAAGATAACAGAAAATGTTTTTTATAAATACATCAACACAAAAAGGAGGACTAAGGAGAATCTCCATCCTTTACTGGATGCAGGGGGAAACTTAGTTACAAGAGATGAGGAAAAGGCGGAGGTGCTTAATGCCTTCTTCGCCTCAGTCTTTAGCAGCAATACCGGTTGTTCTCTGGATACCCAGTACCCTGAGCTGGTGGAAGATGGGGATGGGGATGGGATGGGGAGCAGGATGTGGCCCTCACTATCCACGAAGAACTGGTTGGTGACCTGCTACGGCACTTGGATGTGCACAAGTCGATGGGGCCGGATGGGATCCACCCAAGGGTACTGAGAGAACTGTCAGAGGAGCTGGCCAAGCCCCTATCCATCATTTATCAGCAGTCCTGGCTATTGGGGGAGGTCCCAGCTGACTGGCGGCTAGCAAACGTGACGCCCATCTACAAGGAGGGCCAGAGGACTGACCCGGGAAACTACAGGCCTGTCAGTTTGACCTCAGTGCCAGGGAAGCTCATGGAGCAGATCATCTTGAGAGTCATCATGACCATCCATGAACTAATGTTTACTCTGGTCCTTCTTTTGCTGTTAACATATTTTAAAAGCCCTTTTTACTATCCCTGACAGTACTGGCTAGCTTCAACTCTAATTGAGTTTTGGTTGCATAAATTTTCTCCCTTCAAAGGCAAACAGCATCTCTGTACTCCTACCATGTTCCCTGACCTTGCTTCCAGTGGCCATACTTTTTCCTTTAGTTGTCCTCCATCCACCAATGTATGTAACTGCAAACAGACTACTAATTATAATTTAATTTATTTATTGTTCTAACGCACACCTTCAGTATTAGAATCAGCACTTAAAGGACTTCCAGTTTTTTTTAGCTTGTAATTTGCTGTGTCTGCACATTCTTGCTGAGTACCAATGTTATAAAATATTAATGGAGAGCTTTATGAAAACCTATAGACCATGATTGAATGAGGAAAGACGAGGTTGTAAGGTTGGTGCTGCAGCCATTTGAGTGATTACTGGCATGGTGCCATAATTACAATTCTTATTACTACTGCTATGTCAGAGCTAATGCATAAAGTAGATTTCTTTGTCCTTGTTTCTCTCAGTTCCCCTCTGAAAAACTATTCAAGGGGATACAGTCTCAGCCAAGGGCCTTGCTAAAACTCACGGTGATAAGTCAGTAAAGAGTTTTAATTCTTGTCATCAGTGTTGTACACTGTGCCAGCTTTTAACATTTGCGTATTTAATTCAGTCTCTCCTCCTGGTGATGCTTCTCAGGACATACACTGAATAAAGTAACTGCACTTGGTGAGACTGAGATCAGCATATGTGTATAAAATGGTGAATAGATTGCTGAATATCTTCTTTACTCTTTTCTCCTCATATCAGAACATTCCTCAAGCAGTGATCTGCCTCTCTGGCAGCCTCTCTGGTAGTAGGAGACATTTCAAAAGTTATTCTGGGCGTCTGCATTGCTTAACTGCTCTGATTCATTATGCTATAAATTTCTTTCTTGTTGTGTTTCAAATTTGTGCATCAGGGATGTGTATAGGGGGTACTTTTTAAATTCATGAAAAAATAAAAAAAAAGAAAAAGAAAGTGCTAAGAAATATAAATATTGAGTAAATGTAGCCTGTTTTTGCAAGGAGTAAATACGAAGCTAATGCACAAGATTTATCCTTTACAGTAAATCATCAGTATGTCTCATTTTAGGCTTCTCGTATGACTGCTGTTTTTTTACTGCAGTGTTCAGTCATGCTGATTTATGCCATACTATCTCGTGAATATTTTGCAGACTCTTATCAATAATACAGTTTTATCTTTGGGTGCAGATGTAATGAACTTAGAACAAATAGCAGGCAGAAAGTATGATTTCTGCCTCAAGTAGTTTTCTGCTTGAAACAAACTTGATATAAAATGTCAGACATACACAAGACATCAGGGAATGGTGGATTGGATCAGGAAAGGCATCAGCCCAATTAACAAAATATTTTATTCCATAAGGGCTTATGTACTCAATAAGATGTTTCTGTTTGACTGGAAAGATTTCATTAGAGTCGTAGCAGGAATCCATCCAGGAGGTAGGAGGAATCAGGACAGTGAACAGTGGTATCACATATTTTTACTCAGGATAGGTGCTTCTGCATGTGAACAGAAGAAGCAGCCGTCAAATTAGATCTCAAAGATCACGCAAGAAAACATAACAATGGTAGAGCACTGTTGATACCAGACTTGGCTCTCGTCTCTCTGCCTGCAGCTGAAACCGAGTCAGGAGTAATTGACTGGAAGCATCTTGTTTATGGTGGGCCTCATGTAGCAATGGCATACTCGCTTACTTAAGTCATTAAATACTTCCTTCAAATTATACTAAATTTACTGCCCTTTTGTTTTGTTGCTTGACCTGCTGATCCTTCATGAAGGAATTACCAAAAGTAAAATACAATTATTTGCCAGTGTATGCCTTCTCATTTTCAAAACTGTATTTTAGATTTGTGTGTGTGTGTATTCTAGCTCAAATTGTAGCTAATGTAAAACTGTTCTTGGTCCTACTGTTAGGCATGTTGTGTAAAATATGAGTAAATAGACATCCAAATGTTCAAAATTTTGATAAATTTAGTTTGGAGTCACCTCTCAACATTGTACCATATATTATTGAATAGTTCAGCCTATGTCTCTTTATCTTTAGCTGAACTATTTTTATCTTAGAACTGTGTTATAGATTGATTTGAGAAGTATGCTCTCAATTGTTTTGAGTTGCAGTTGTTCATGTGTACATTATGTGTGAAAGGGTGGATGTGTGCTAATTTTCTGTGAAGTCTAAATTCATTTGAAATTCTGTTATGTTTTGTGTTAAGTTATAGTAATTAATAATTCCCAGGGAAGCATAATGAAAATACTTGATAGATCAGTTTACTAAAATCATTTATGCTTTTGAAAACTCAAAAAAAAAATGATACGTGTTAAAACCATGTGTTACAAAATTTGCTCCTTCATTAGTGTTCATCTCTGAAGACATCTACATCTTTTTTCTTAGAAAAAAAGTTTTGGATGACAGTTCTCTGAGGTTGACTTTTGGAAACTAGTTGCACATAAACGTTGGACACCTATGAACATTAAACATTAAATTCCTATGGATTTTCAGTAGCAGAATGCAGGGACTTACATTTATCATGTGAAGGATGTGTAAAAATAAAGTAAATCAGTCTTGTTGAAAAATATTATTCCTGATGATATATACATCATATATATGGTCTCAGTTCAAGTTCTGATAATAAGCTTGAGTGTCTGAATTTGGAGATGACTAGTCTACATTAAAACCACATTATGAATCTTCCTTCATTTTCTAAGGGATAACAATAATCATCCTACAAAGTGGTTTACTCAAAACAGTGACCAGGATTGCAAGTGAAATCACAGTCATTAGCAATGCCTCAGGCTTACACAATTCTCCATGTATTCTATAGTTTCCCAAAATAGAATGTGTTTCATTTCACTTTCTTTGAAAATTGACTTGGCAGAAGTTTACAAATTTTTCTAGGCAATATCACTGCCAGCAAAAATAAACAAATTATTTTTGTTATTCCACAAATAAAACTAGATTTACTAAATTAAATATTTTTTTTCTTCCTGTGATATCAATCAAACTAATATTTTAAACTTTATCCAAGGAAATATTCATGCAATTCAGACTCAAACTTGCAGCTAGACAAATCTAGATTAGAAGTGAGACGCAAATTATGGAGAGAAATTAATCTTATACATCACTTGCCAAAGATTACAGTTGGTTCTTATCAGTGATAAGCTCAACCTCAAATTAGGCTATATTTTCTAGGGGTTTTGCCTTTATGTATTGATCAAGAAGCAGGAGTTACTCGAATGTGCTAAATACACCAGGGAAGAAGATAAGAAGATCACAATGCTGTCCTCAGGCCTTAAAAACATTTTTTCCCCTTGTTTATCACTTATTAAATAGAAACTTTTCATTATAGCCTGATACTGATTTTCAGTATAAATCAAATGTTTTTGTTTGTTTGTTTTTCTTCCTGACAGGTGCAGCTAGTTACAACAGTTTTTATGTTTTCTGCAAAAATTTCTGCCAAGCTGTTAAACCTGGGAAACTGAGGGTCCGCTGCAGTGTATGTAAACAAGGAACACTGACTTTGGCAAGGGTAAGCGGGTGTTTCAGTTTTTTGGACTTTATAAAAATTATATATATTATAATATATATATATTATAATTATATATTATATATAATATATAATATAATATATATATTATATATATATCCATTTGCATGTATGTAACTATGTATATATGTATTTTTACTGAAATCTTTTATTGCTATTTATGTCTGTAATTTAAAGCTTGGTGAAGATTTCGTTCACTTATCTCCACTATTTGCAGTACACACAAGGAAAACATTGCAGACTGTAGCTCCAATCCTGTTAAGACATTCTTGGCTTTATATTTGAAATCCTAATGGTTAGCCTGGTAGTATGCATAATATGTACAACTTAAGGGTATACTTAAGGGTTAGAATTATAGGTGCTTATGCAAAGCCTGGATCAGTGTTTGTGGGCACAGAAAGACCTGAATTCAGTGCCAGTGACTGTGAACGTTATGGAATGAGACAAGGAGGAATTAAGTGGCTGTGCAGCTGAGAATATTAATCTCTCCAGCTCAGCCAGTGTATGTGAAGTCAGAGCAATGTTACTATGGTGGGACACAAAGTTAGTAGAACTGTCAGGCTTAGTTTGCATCTAAAAATGGGACACTGTTGTTTGACTTGAATTTACAGTAGTGTGAAGTTCTGGAGTGTTTTGTTTGTTTGTTCGTTTTTTCTTTTCTCTGTTGTGCTGAATTTCACTGGCTGTGCTACTGGGGAATAAGACTCCTTCCTCTCTCATAAATCACAGTGTACATCAGCCAGGTTTGTTCTGTGAAAGGCTTAGGCTTGCGTGGAAGACTGAACCTTACCATGCTGTAGATGTTGGGGAGCTTTCTGTGACACATGTTTAACTGTATACCTTTTGCTGTGGTTTAAAGGGGTTAATTTCACTTTCATGTTCTTGATGTAGCCCAGTACTTCTATGTCATGACACAAAATAGCACTGTGAGACTCTTAAAAAACCCAGCTACTGTAATCTCATTGAAAGAATAAAGTGTAGTAATGCTTATACATATATAAATTAAAACCCCATAACAACAAACTCTCTCAAGCCCTGTGTGCTATTTCTGAATTACTTGCATATCTCTAATTTATTTCAGAGGCTTACAAGTGTTGCATATTGTGATGTTTCAAATTAACACATCTAAGAACCTTTGTTTTTCTCTGAAAAGTCACACTTAAATATTTGTGATTAGTATAGGCTTAAATCACGTATAAATCAAGATTCAGAAGTTGCATTTAATGTACATGTCCATTGGTATAATACTCAGTACGATATAAACACAGGTGACACTGTGTTCAGATTGAATGCAAACAGTCATTGCTGCTGAATGATTGCTTTTATCACTAGCTGTCTTTGAACTCTGTGCATTGCAAGGACGGAACAGAACATGTGTCCTTTCCTAGACTTGGTGACTTCTTTAGGCATGTCCAGTCTTACGGAAATTATCACTTTCAGTTCTGTAATGGTTGGTTTGGAGTCATTATGTTTCTTGTATTAAGTAGACTTAAATACATTTACAAACTTGAAGTTCTTACAGTATTTGCTAAATAGTAGTCTTCCTTTTGTCTCCCAAGAATTCCTCATGACTTCGTTATTAAAAATAAAATAAAATAAAAAAATAAAATGAAAGAAAAAAACCACTACTATAAAAAGTTCCAGTATTGCAAGTTTCTAAATAAACTTGTAGTATCTGATTGTCTGGAATGTATGCAGATCTACATTCTTTTGGGCAAATTTGTGTCAATAAATATGCACAAGCTGATAATTTCTATTGAATGACAGCTGCGTATTTTTTTCTGTTAGCATATTTTACATTAGGTATGAACAGGAAGTCACTGGAAACTTGCAGTGGAAGCATTTGCTAATTTCAAGACTGGTTAAGAAAAATAAGAGCTTTTGGAAGATTTGATAAGGCACTTCAGTATGAAAGTACAAAAGAGAAAAGGGAAATATCTTTTAGAGAGTGTCAAATGATAATTTTTGACTGTTTCATTTTTTTAATAATGTCTACAGAAATAATTTGCAGTTCAGGTTCTTGTTACTTTCTCCCCAAAATAAAGAAAATATGTTATCATTCCTTCCCTCTCAAATTCAGTGAAGCAAGGTAGATAGAACAGTAAGTGCACTGTTCCATTAGTTTGGGCTGGCAGTCCTCAGTGCTTTCAGAAGTGAAATATTTGCAATAAGGACACACTTACAGTAGTGAATGTGCTAAGCAACAGTAAGTTTGTTTTATAAATACATGCAATGTACCTCAGTCCTGTGCTTATGAAGATTAGGTGCAGATTTAGTATGTGCCTGGCCCCAGTGACCTTTTTTCTTCTCACTTGCTGTCCATCTTCCAGGGAGACAGAAAGTAATTCCAACAGGGGAAGCTTGAAATATGTACCAGGCCTCATTTATTTTTCAATACTACGTAGAAACCTCTCTGCATTAATGCTAGGCAAAAGTATAGTCTCTGAGCTGGTGCTTTGTATCTGCTATGCTTTCTTCAGTGCATCACAGTCTACAGTAAGCAAGTCAGGCTGAAAATGTTATCAAAACTTGACCTTTGTGTACTTAAAAATAAAAATAAAAATTATGGAAGTTAGAAGGTAGTGTATTACTGCAAACTCTCTATGTTGCTTGTCCAGTCCCAACTGGACTATGCCAGCAATTGCTAATAAGACATCATCTTTACTGGTAATACCAGTAATCATTACATCATTACTGGTATTGCCATCTTTACTGGTATTATGATTTCCCTTTTATAGAGAAGTTGGTCAACATAAAGTGAACATAGGTAAACTATAAAAAAGCATGTGTATCATACTACAGATTTGTCAGAAAAGCTGTATGTTTTTTTTTTGAAGATATGTTTTATCCAGTGCTCAGTAAACTGTGCCTGACCTTTACCAGGCAGCATAGCAAGTTGCTTAAGAAGCTCTCCTGTGCCATAAGCAGCAAAGCACCATCTAAGCCAACGTTTGTTACAGTAATTCTTTCACTGAGATGAAAGTGAATACCTGTGTAAAACCCACACAAAGCTTTGGGCAGCTTTAACTCACTCAACATGCTAATTCTTTTCTCTACCTAAGCCACAAATGACCAAACTAATTAAATTGAGCTTTCTTTTTTCATGGTGTGTTGACTGACTGACATTTTAAAATATTACTTATTCATTTAAACAGTCTTATTCTAAAACCTTATTTAACTGTCATTCCTATTTGCATAGCATTATTTTAATATATGATGCCCAGAGTAAATTTATTATACTGTTTTTCTATGAAATTAAAGAGCCCGCTATTTTTATTTTCACCAGAGACATCAATCTAAATATTAAATTTGTAATTTTCCAGATGACACTTAGGTTGGCGTTTTACGAACATTTCATGACCTGATTCTTTATGGAAGATATATACCAAACTGATTTAATTATAAGGAAACATCAGTCACTGCAAAAGTATCACCTCTCCCTGGTTTCTCTAATTAATCAAGCACAAAATCATGTATGGATGACTGGAGTGTGGGAGTCTTATGTAGACCACCTACAAGCCTGCTAGCAACTTTCTCCAAATTGTTCAAAAATTTTGGTTATCAGCTTCACACTGGTTTATATACATGTATTTTGTTGCTTGCAAGCTTTTGAAAATAATATTTTCATATTCATATGGTGCTGCAGTTTATTTCAGTATCCATGATTCAGATAGGGTATTCCTCTTTTCAGGAAAATAAAGTAAATAAAAACAAAGGTCACATTTAGACTTTTTTTTTTTTTTTTTTTTTTTTAGCATTTGCATTGTTAACTCTGTAATGAAAAGGAAAATGCAATGGAAAGCCTGTTTCTGCAAACTGTTATACACCAAACTGTGTAGTTAAAGCACACTTTTTAAATGTACCTGACTCTGTGACATACTCCTGGTACACAAGACCATGACATTTGCCTCAGTCTCTGTTTTCACTATACAAAATTCAGCCAAGGTAAGAATCGGGATTGAAGTGCCATAAATGGACTTTGGGTCTCTGTGCTTAAGCACTGGCTCTCTGGTGAGGCCATTGCCACTGCAGGGACTTGTTAGTGTTTGGTAGTTCTTCACGCTGTCACCAAAGCACACATGGATTTTATTCAGTGGCTGAAGCCCACAGTTCTGCTGTCCCTGCCCTTGGTGCTTCAGGGGAGCTTCAATTTTTAAACACGTTTGTTAAACCATCTCTGCCAGAGAACTACTCTTGTTTTTGCCATATTATGGATATTACTTTTATCTTTAGCTTTTCATCTTAAAGCTAATAAGGAAATGAAAACAAGCTTTTTTTTTTTCCTCTGGCACCGTAAAAAGCTTGTCATTTCAGTATCATGGCATTCAGAGTAGGCTGTGTTGTACATCATAGCTCTGGCAAGGAAAAAGCTCAAAAATCAAGTGCCTCAGTGACTAACATGTCATTCATAGTTTAAGTGGTTGTCCTGATAGCTGAAAATAAAGTATTTTGAATTTGATACTTTCATGTTACCTAGGAAGAGAAAGGCCTTTAATACAGTTATTATCTTTGACTTTTTACTGCCTAATACCATTTTACTATTTGTTTAAGTAGGGTGTTTTCTTTTTAATGAATATATGCTTAGCAGAGATTTTCAGTAATATAAAACAAAAAGGCAGTGACTTTAAGTTTATTTCATAGAATTCTGTATTTGCTTTTCACTTATGGGACAGTCCCCATGGTAAAGGTGATTTTGTTCCTGTAGGTAATTTACTTTAAATATCTCTTTGTTTAATATATCATTGCAAAAGTCTATTCCACAGTAGACTGCCTCTCACCATTGCTCATTATGGATCACATACTTTGCCTGGAATTGGCTCAGTGACAGAGGAGGGAAGGAGTACCACTCAATGCATTGGAGCGAGGCTGGCTGAAAGACAAATGGGAAAGTAGCAGCTCCAAAATCATCTAGCCCGTGCATCTGCTGATTCACCACTGATGGTTACCACTGCTGGGGTAACGTTACGGGCAGCCCACAGGGC